ATTTTTACATTATATTTTGGAGATAAGGCTCCATAGATAAGAAAGAAAAGCATTCCTTAATGATATTCATATTATTCCCCATCTACTTATTTTATGTTATTTTGTGTTACATCAGGAATCAACTAATCATATTTTATGCATGAATTCATTTAGAAAGAAACAATGCATGGAAAACATGGTCCCTACTGCTAATAGAATATGAATATAGTATAATAACATTTTCACTTAATGATATAAAAGAATTAAGAAGATTCCATTTAATATTTCTTTGAAGTGCATTCCATTTGCTTAAAATATCAGTAAATACATCCATGAGGACTTTATGATGGAACTTTTTTTTCCTCTGTGTATTTGTGAGGGCCAGGTATCCTGCTGATTAAAATCAATATAGAAGAGTCTTCTAACAGGCTGGGAATTGCAATTCACATGAGGTTGATGTGAACTGTTCAAATATAATCTATATTAAAGAATTAAAGAAGAGAGGGAGGGAGCAAAAGAAGGAAAGAAGAAGTAGTTTCCTTGTTGGTTTTTTTTTTTTTTAATAAATTCTCTGCAAGGCAAAGGTACAGATACCGAGTTACACGTGCAAGACTTCCATAATTAGAGCATTTTTCCCAATAAAATATAACTTCCCATCACACAGAGTTTAAAAGCATTCCTGATGCAAGTCTAGCCTTAGAAGTGTTCTTAATTTTCATAAGTCCATATCATTTAAAAAGTGATTTTGAGGGAGGAATAAATGCTTTGTGGAACATGAAGAAAAATGACTTCCTAAAAAAGGGAAAAGCTATGTCTAAGAAAAAACTTGGGACAATTTATGAAATTTCTGTAGAGAAAACTGAGGTAGATTGTCACAATATTGGACTTTAGATATACTTGTATCCCTCCCTCCCCTTTACTGAGAATATTCTAGAAAAGAAAAAAAAAGGCACAATGTTGTTAATTGTTAATGCATTAAATCAATGTTGACTGAGCACTAATTCCATGCTCCACTCTCAACCAACCATCATCCTAGCATTTGTAGTTGTCTTTGACAAGCAGAGGAAACTGTTTGAAGGTTCCAAATACAAGTGTTATTCTTTTTTGATGGTGTCCAAAGAGATACAGAAAAATCACTTCTATGCATTTCCTCCTCCTAATAGAACTTTACAAAAAACAAGACTTCTAAAGTCAAGAAGGTGGATGATATTTGTGATAGGGAATAGCACATGACATTTAAAACTCAGGCAATAAAAGCTTGGGACATGAGAGAAAAAGGAAGCAGCGTTGGCCCCGATGCTCTGCCATGAAGAGGTGATGGAGATTTCGTTCACAGCAATGTATGGCAGAAGCAGCTAAATGGCATCCATTGAACTTATTTCTTTTCTGACCTTTTGAAGTTGCCAGGTTCAACTAATTTTCTTCTCCTGGTTACATCTGAAGGCCGGTTCCAGAGGCAGGAACCAAAAGGGCAGTTGAGATACATTGTACATATCACATCATCAGCAACTTTGCATGGGATTCAGATCAGAGCAGACTAATGGCTCTTCAGTTAATTAAGCCCCACAACATCAGTGGATGGCCTCAGACCATCAAAATATTATTCTGTTCCACAAGTATACATTTATGAGATTCTGTAAAAAAAAACCTTCCCACACCACAGACAGATGTGTTTGCTTTAAAAGACTAGTCAATATATGAATCCAAGAAGCTAAGATGGCAAATCAAATCATCGAAAGTAGATGAAAGGGCAAAGGGAATAGGATAAGAATCTCCTATTTGAACCAATAAATGAGTTCGTTATCTAGGTACATTTTCAGGTTTTCTGTAAGTAAGCTCTGAGTGTGTGTGTGTGTGTGTGTGTGTGTGTGTGTGTGTAAGTAACACCTAATACAGAGCAAAGGAATCAGTCTTGGTTTAATTCTATGCTCTGTAGGAGGTATACAATACACCAAAGGCAGAAGCCTTTCCCAAACTACAAAGCAAAGTTAGTCCATTTCACTTGTGCATGCCAACAATGCTGAGAACAGAAAAACTGCATTTCCCTCATGCCTTGCTTCTCTGAATAACATTGTAAAAAATACAAAATTACTGAAACTAGTATGAACAGCACCATTGAGCAGAATAGTTTTGAAAAAGTCCTGGGACCTTAGTTTGCATCTATAATTTAAAGGCTAGGCTGTTTTGCGTCTTCCTTGATTTGTCAGACACAAAACTTTGCTGATGGAGTAGGAGAGAATGGTTGGCAATACAAACTGAATGTCTGTTTTATCCATGACAAGCTTTTGTTTGTGCATGGCGACTTTGCTCAGATTGGAATGTTGATAAAATTGTAAGGCATACTACTTTAATAGAAAAATAATGAAGATTGTTAATTCTGTCTTTAGAGAATCAGTTAGTTCTAATGATAAAGTTACTTCTGAACAGTTGCCGATGAAGTGTGGATTCTAACTTTTCTGTCTGTGCTTGATCCTTTTTCCTCACCCATAAACGGAAAGGAACTTCGAGAGGAAAGCCCTGAGGTCCAGTTTCCTGAATAGAATCATTACACCCTCATTCTTTGGAGTTTTCTTGCTTTGTTCCAAGAATCAGGTGCTCCCCGCTAACCAGAAGCATCAGACCTTAAATCTGTTCAGTTTACAAAGAAATGTTGCATCATGAGTTATGTTTATATAACAGCCTTTACAAAATGCCTTCTCAAGTGGTCTCCTACATCCTGCAGAGCATGTTTCACAGATTGTTTTGCTGTTTTTTGTTTTGTTTTGTTTTTTAACTTTGAGCATACTGCTATTGGCTACTTCTGCTGTGTTCAGTGCTAAATCAAGCGGCGGCTTTAGATGAATACTGTCTTGACCAGAGTGCAGCATATAATGCCCACATAAAGTTATTTTTTCAGGTTAAAGACTTCCTTCTTTATCCAGTTGATACATGTATAGCAGGCCAATGGAGCTGCTACTCCAGTGAGGGTTGCTGCAAAACTGTTCTTCAGCTAAATTCGTAACACCTTCAGGAGCTCAAGAAATATATCTTGGACACCCACAACGCAGCCAAAATATGTTAAGCGTCTTGGGTGGAGAGATTCCTTCATCGGGAGTCTTGAGAGTTTTAAGAGACTATAGATTATAAGGCAGAAGAATTGATTTTTAAATAGTAATTGGAAAACAGAAGATCCAGGTTGATGGGGGCAACAGTTAAAAAGTTTGCATGACAGCATTGCAGGACACATCTCAGAGAACATTAGCCAGTGTCTCTGAAATATCGGGCTTGTCTGTGATGGCCACGGGATACCTGGGTGCCCGTGTGGATGCCGTGGGGAACAGAACAAAAAGCACAAACTGCCACAGAGCAGCCCTGAATGAAACAGTCCCCAGGGTTGCTGCGGAGCCTCCTCTCTGTTTTCAGAATAGATTTTCTCAACTCCAAGCCCTCTTCAGAGTCCGGGGAGGGGGGAGGATATATATATATATACACACACACACATACATACATACATATATATATCAAAGGTGATTTAAAATCCTGCGACTGCTCCAGCATGAAATGACTATGCGATTGGGGGGCTTCCAAACTGCTGAAGCAGATTTACAGAATATTATTAGTAGTATTATTATTTAATAAGAGGCAGAGCCCTAGAATTTCTTTCAGCCAAAGAGCTCAGGGAAGTGGAAAAACATGTCTGGACAGGGTGATTATGGAGAACTCCCTTTGAGGGATTAAAAAAAAGGAACCCTCAGAGAACATCCTCTAAAGGCCTCTTGGTTAAAAGAATCTCTTACACACACACACACACACACACACACACACACACGAAAAAACCCCTGCAAAACCAGACACGACTGATGAAAAGCAAAAGCCAGGCAGAAATTTCAGTTGTGTTTGCCATGAACGACAGGGCTCATTTTGCATGCAGGGAGGTCCAGCGGCCAGGTTGAACGGATGGAAAATCCCACTCTCGAATCTTACATAAATATCTCCTTCCGGCACATAGTCTTCTAGTTGAAAAACTCCTATAATGAAGCCGGAGGTGACAGCCGAGGAAGGGTTGTTAACCGCTGAGATGGCTGTCAGGAGTGCTGTAAAGAGGGCCGGTGCTTCCTGGGGGCCCCACCCGCCCCCCACCCGGTGCCTCCGATGGGTTTCCCGGTGGCACCCATTCGAGAGGGCAGGGCCAGAGCACCTTCTCCTGAGTCCGCGTTCCCATTCTCGGCCCACAGATACTGTGAAGCCAGTAAAAGAAAACAGCCGGCTGATCGGCTGAGCAGCTCCGGCGCGCTAAGGGCATGGTCGGATCTTGCCTCTTAAAGAGGAAACTCTGCGGAATCTTCAGGAAAGGGTGGTAAAGTTGAAAGGACCCCTTCTCCCTTGCCTGATTATCAGCTCTATCTTTTAACTGGAGCTGAAGTGGGCAGCTGCCAGGGTGGTTTTCCATCACTGACTAATGTTGTGCGTTTGCAACAATAAACAATTAATGTTGTTTGATTTCTTACATGTAGCAGCCCAAGCAAACTGCTGCCATCTCGGCTCGCGGAGATGAACGGCTCGTCCCGGACGTGCCGCCGGCTCTGGGCCTGCGGGGAAGGGTCTCGGGATCACGAAACTTTGAGGTTTCTGCCAGATTTGATGGGGAAGGCTCTGGTCTTGCGGAGAGGGAAAGGCACAGTAAACTGTGGATACCTGTTGGCATCCTCGTTGGCGGCGGCGGCTTTTCACTAGCTCCCAGGCTTGGCTGGAGCCTGAGAGAACGGGGATCAAGTCCTATATGAACCTGTTACGCGCTGCCAGAACCCGGACAAGAATCCGCTTTTCCTCGGGTCCCGCGAGGGGGGAAGGCTCTGGTCTTGCGGAGAGGGAAAGGCACAGTAAACTGTGGATACCTGTTGGCATCCTCGTTGGCGGCGGCGGCTTTTCACTAGCTCCCAGGCTTGGCTGGAGCCTGAGAGNAAAAAAAAAAAAAAAAAAGGTCCCTTCTGGGTCCTCGGGGCATGGATTAAAACGAGGGGTTTGGGTGGAGGATCACTCACTCTTGCGGGGCTCCGCGCGGGCGAATTTCAAGCCTCTTGGTTCACTAATGGCTGGAGGGGTTCGAGGTCTGCTCCCGAGGGCGGTGAACAGCGAGCGGTCCCCGCGCGCTAGGCAGGCGCCTCCAGATCGCGTTCATGCCTCTCGGAGCTGCGGGGCTTGGTGCGGAGACGCGGGGCGGGCGCACCGGGCTCTGAGTGTCCGCAGCCCAAAGTGCAGCTTCGCTGGGTGGACGCTACCGTCCGTGCACGAACCGGCGACAGCAGATGAGCTTCGGGGAAGCAGGGAGATTCCAAATAGATCCACTAATTCTGGGCTGAGCGCTCCGGCGTGCAAGCCCGCCTGCCTGCCAAATGTAACTGTGAAGTGATGTGGAAAAGTGAGTCGGGTGCCTCCCCTGACGGATCTCATTGGGCAGAGCGCAGAGGCAGGTCTACCACTTGGAAATTCGTGTAAGCGGGCCCCCTCCCCGCCCCCTCCCTGCCTCCCCCCACCGGCGCTCTGGCGCGCTCGCTCCTCCGTTCTCGCCCGCTACCAAGTGGGCGCACAACTTTTCGCTCCTCGCTCTCGAGCGCGCCCCGCGCGTCTCCGCCTCCGGAGCCACTCGGGGAAGATGCGCCCTTCCGTGCGGTGCGCGCGGCCCGCGGAGGGCCAGGCTCCAGGGGAAAAGGGCTGGCAGACTACAAAAGGATGCGGACGAGTGTACCCGCGAGCTTTCTCTCTGAGTCTTCCCGGAGCTCTGGGGCTAGCGAGATCTTGAAAAGCGTCCCAGTGAACCACGGCTGTTTTCCTTGGGAGGAAGAGGACGCGACAGGGCAAAGGGGTGCGCGTGGGCGGCGTGTCTGCTCTTTAAGCCAAGATGCTCAGGCAGACCGAGTGGGGTGTCGGTAGGACCAATGCCTGCTGCTCAGACGCTGTGGTTTTAGAGGCACTGGGTCGCGGTCCTCTGGGTGGTGCGCATTCCTCATATCCCCAGGCTTCTACTTCTTCAGGGAGATGGGATGAGGAAGCGCAGGCGGGCAGACGCAAGGGGCGCGTAAGTAGGTGTGAAAAAAGCAGAACTTGCTTGGGAAATAAAAGGAGAGGCTGCTAGGTCTTCTCAATGTGCCCTTGCCTGCAAACCTCTCGGGCATCAGACTTCTAGCTCCTTTGCTTCCGCCACGAGATGCGCTTTCGAGTCCTTTGATGGACTCCACTCAAACGTTGAGAATTGCCCACCATGGAGAGCCCGTGCAAGAGAAGGAATCATGAATCAGGAGGTCCAGATTTCTTTTCTTCTCATCAGTGAGGCAAATATGTAGAAATAGGCAGCTATTTTTAATAAAATTTGTGAAAATGACTATGAGCTAATCCTTATTCCTTTGTTTAACTCCCCTCTACAGAACATTTAGTCCATTCTCTGTGCACTAAAGCTGAACTTTGAGGAAGGGTTTTACTGCCCGGGAACAGAGTCAGGAACGGAAGACGAAAGAAAGGGTATGGAGAACCAGACAAGAGGTCCGTCCGTAAAGCTTGTACTGTCTGACTTCAATTAATTAGAGTGAGGAAAATGAGAAAATAGGCACAATATGCTTATAATATTTATGCAAATTTGACACTTTTGTGTCTGTTGCATCTACCATCCCATTGTGAGATGTTGAAAAGAATGCTGACTATAGGTCTAGTATCTGTTTCACATTCTAGCTGATTTAGGGAAGCAACTGAATTATTTCAGAGCAGGGAGAAGTGAAGAGAAGCAGGAGGTATTTTCCCACGAGACAGTCACTAAGTAACTGAGCTCGTCTCAGACTCTGTCTGTTTACAGGGTATTCAGAAATTGGCTAATTTTGTCTTGGGAAAAGGAACAGTAGTCGTGCCTCAGTCATATTATAACTGCCGCTGGACTGGACAGTCCCAAGTGGAGAGAGAAACAGATCACATCTTGGACGATGCTTAATTTTCACATTCATTTTCACTTTGAACAAATGCTCTGAATCTTTCCTTAGGGTACCTTCTTACATCTGTGAGAATTAAAGCAAAGGTTATGTGTTACTGAAGCCTGGGAATTGTTCCTAGTAACAAAGTCACCTCAAAAGCAAGCTAGCGTGTTAGAGCTAAACAGTATCCTCAAATCTCATTTCTTAATGGTAAAATAAAACTATTTTAATGACAAAGTGAAGAAAGTCAGAATCCAATGGCTTTAGTTACCTTGGGTTAGAATGAGTTTATTCTGACTCACCTTATCCATGTTTATTCTCAGAGCAGTTAAATACACTGTCCTAGCTGACTTTTGGCCATCTAGATTTCAAGGTAGCCCCCTCTATGTATATACTGCTCATCTCTACCCAAAGCACTGCAGTAGGAATTTCCTATAATTTTCTCTTGATTCTTAGGAGAGGCCGGGATGATTAAGCAGTGTGAAAGAGGATTAGGATAATGTTAAAAAGCCCTATAAGGATATTTCTAAAATAATCAGGGAGGCTGAAAGACAAGGCATTTGCCTCTTTAACAATTCCACCCCCTCTTAATAGGATGCAGTGCAATGTCACAATGGTGAGAACCTAACTCCTTAAGATAGTTTTCTTTCAACGTCCTCTTCAGAGTGACAGCCTTCTAGCAGGAAGAGGACTGTAACACAGGCTTTGTAGGATGGCCACTAAAACTGCATGTGTCCTGGAGTATTTTGGAGGAGGAAGGGTAGGGAGTTATCTGATAGGGCAGCAGTATAATCAGAGAAGCAGTGGATGTTGGGGGAATAGGAGAGGGAAGACAACATTCAGAATAATCCTGGCTGATTGATGCTAGTGTAGGAAGAGGCAGAATGTCTCCAGCCTGTGTTTCAGTGACAGGCAGACAGTTCTGCACAGTTCTGCAGACAGTCTCTGCAGTTGAATGAGATGGAGGGTAACTCCATCGAGTAAAAGGCACTTTTGTTTTTCATGAGGAATGGGACTTTTCTTCTAATTTTGAGTAAAAATGACAGTTAACCAAGGGACTGATTAGTTGGAGGGGGGAAGAATCTGATGGCTTCCTCTGCCCCTGCTGGAAGTGGGAGGGAGAGACAGGAAGACTCCAGCCTCTACAGTTGGAGCAGGAAATGGCAGAATGGAACATATCTATTACTGCCGGAGATAAAATTCAAACTTTTCATCTTTTCCTTCTTCACTACATGATAAAGAAAAAAAAATTAACTTAAAAATGTGTTTATCATGGTATGATTACTAAGAGCTTTCAGATTTATTGGATTGCTTTTAAATTTAGATTAACTAAGTAATTCGTTCATGGGATACCTCTTAAAGGTAAGGCTGAGGAGTGTGGATTCCATGAATGAAAGGATTTTGCAATGTGATACCTACCAAGGGTATTTCAAAATAAGGTTTAAAATAAAAAGCTGAAGAATGTGAAATATGAAGAAGGCAAAAAATTACACCAATTAGTATGTGATCTTTTCTAGGAATTCAGAGAACTTTTCTCACATTTCATCTTATGGAATTCCAATTAAAAATCTGAAGATGACTGTGTCTTTTTTTTTTTTTTGGAGAGGGTGCATATTTTATTCTCAGTAGTGTATTTTCCTGAGAAACATATTTTATATATATAATATAAAAAGATATAACAACTGTGCCATTAGGTAAAAAAAATAATTTTTCTTTTGAAATTTTAGTTTGACTACCAATATTTGAGCCTAAGTCATAAGAATGGAAAGATTAGGAAAACTGTTTTAAGTTCAAATGTTTAAATACATTAGAAAAGTTGCCTTTTTCTTTTTTTTTAAGTTTAAGTGTTTGTTTAAACTAGGTAGGAAACCAAAATCATGAAAAGTTGTGATGATGCTAAAGTTAAGAAAATGTGAGCATCTATAGTGGTTCTCAAACTGTGATCTCAGGCTGAGCTGCCGCCTCTCCATCTTCAGGGCACTTGTTAGAAATGCAAACATACCTGCCCTGGACCTGGGTGGGGCTCAGCAAGCTACCTTTTATCAAATACACCAGGGAATTCTGTGACTTGCTAAAGTTTGAGAACTACTGCCTTAGGCTATTCTTTTCTCAGAAGATCTATAAAAAGAAGAGAAGAATAAAAGTAAAGTAGGGTATTATATGAATACTTCTTGTCTTCATCCAGGAATATTCTAAGAATACAATCCTAAAGAAAAAGAAAAGTGTATGCACACTAAATTTATCGTGGGCTTGCTTCACCACTGTTTATTGCAGGATCTGAAAAACTAAACTGATTTCTCTAGAAGTGACTATGGATCCGTGGGGTACAGTCACCACTGGACTGTATTCAGAGATGTGATGCTCTACATTTCTTGGTTGCTGGTTTTAGCTACCCTGAAATTAGACCTGGATCTCTTAATATTGACTGTAACTACTAATCTTGAACTTGCTATTATATTTTCAGTAAATGAAGGTATAAACACTTTGTGAAAACTACATCTGTGCTGAGAGCATTTTGGAGAAGTTTTTCAAAATGGCATTATCTCGCATCGTCCCAGGTGCTAGAAAAGAGATAAGCTCCAATTCGGCTTCTAAACAGAAACTGCCTGGTGGGGGTGGGGGGAGGGGCAGTAGATAGATTTAAAGGGACTGGTACAAAGCTATCAAATAAGCCAGCCCAGGTTTGGTGGACTACACACATTTTCATTTGTTGTTTCATTGTGGATTTTGGTTTTTAGTTTTCCTGAAAGTGAACTGCAGCTAGATTCAGATTCCAGATCCCTCTTGTTTAACATGGGAACCAAGAAGAAGAAAAAAATAAAAATGATTCACACCATGCACTAAAAAGAAGAGAAATGGAGGGAGTTTTCCTTCCAAAATCCCCTACCCCACACTATTAGTCCCCAGATACAATTAATTTGGTATATCAGATTGCTTTGGCTATTAAAACATAATATTAAATTTAACTGACCTTATGTCTGATTTAGAAGATGACCATCACTTGGAATTTGCACACTTATACTAAAGCATTAGTACACATGTATAAAGGAATACAAATGTAAGGGGAGGAGGCACATCAGCATTACTTATTGTGTCTAAAATGGGGTTTATCATTCTGGTTACTTGTTATCAAGTTGGTTACTGGACAAGACACTACTACATATGCATTCGACAAATGTCCCAAGAAGTTGAAAAGGAATTACATTACTGAGAATATGAACATGATTTCTTTATTAGTCAAAGCTGCATAAAACTATCTAAAGATTTTTTTGTTTGCTTGTTCATTTATCAAAGTCATGCTGCCTGGAGGAAAAAAAGTGCACAGGCTTTCAAGTGGCCATCTCCTTCCTGCCTGCACAGACAACTGGCCCTAGCTGAGCGATGTCGAAGGGTTTTTTTTTTTTTTTTTTTTTTTCCCCGCCTCAAGCG